TTTAAAATAGCATTTTCCCACCCACAGCAAATCCCGTTTTCCATGCCATTGTCTTCACACAGCTGGGAAGAGCATCAGCTTTAAGTCAACTTGTAAAGAGAGTGCAATCTTCTATTGTCCTTCTTTGTTTGAACGAGGAAAAAAGAACCAAATATTTTGGATAAAAGAGAGGGTGGTGTTTTTGTTGTTGTTTTCTTTTACACAACCCAAACCAAGAAAACTGTTTCAGGGCCGAGAAGCAACAGCAGAACGAACAACCTCGTGGTACCTTAAAAAGGGAGCCGTTTTCTTTGGCGTAAGCCAGATTTCTCACAAAGGGGAGGCCACGGTCCCCCAAAGCTTATGTCCCATAAAGCGTGTTCCTCTCTAACGTACCACAAGCCTCCGCGCCGTTCTTGCTCGGCTAAGGCGGCCACCCCGAAAAGCCAAGGAAACATGAGGCATTTTCTCCGATGAGGAGAGCGGTGGGCAGGCGCGCCCGGCGGTTAGGAGACACCGTGTGTGGCATGGGTCAAAGCCCGACTCGCTTGCATAAGGACTTCATTACCGGTCCCAATAGATAACATTTGGTTAAGTCCATCGCTAGCTCAAAACGCTCCATAATAGCGCCATAAACGAAGCTGCGGCTTTTTGTGTGGTCCTTTTCTGGGGGCACTGATTGAAACATTAGCTCTTCCTTGGAACAAGCAATTCCCTCCCAATTCAAGTCCTGGTAATTCTTCTTTCAGGAGGCGGGAGGGAGGGATGTGGTGAGAAGGCGCGGGGAGGGGGGGGTGCACTCTTTCCCTGAGCCCAGTCCATATAACTACTCAAATGGAAAGTTCACAGACATTGCTTTACTCCTTACTCCTGTGACTGCTTAATGGCACTTCTTGGCCTTTTGTTTAACATCAAGTGTAACATAGTGACAGAAAGGAGCCTGACAAGTCCCGCCCGTTTGTTGGTAGAGGCTAACGGCCCCTCAGTTGGGCTTGATCTCTGCAAATAGCCCTTTGCTCTGCCTTCAAAGCCAAAGGGGACCCTGCGGATCCATTTGCATGTCAGTGGGGATCCCCTCTTCAACAGAGGTTGCGCGGAGTCCCATCAAAGGCTCTCCGGCCTTTGTTAAGAGGAGCACCTGCTCGGGGCCCGGGGACTCCGGACTCCGCCTGGCTGGCCGGGGTCTTTTGGCTAGCTAGGAGAACCACCCAGAGGGCCCGGCCCGACCCGGTCGGTCAGCCAGACGGCCAGGCAGGCAGGCAGGCAGGCCAAAAGCTCCACGGAAACGGCGCTATAAAAACTGAAGAAGGCCTCCTGGGAGAAACGGCCAGACAGCGCAGACTCGGAGATGGGGGCTGCCCTCTTTCTTTGGGGTTTAGACTAAGCAAGTGGCAGGCGCTATTCCTTCTACCGCCACCCTCCCACCCCAAAACCCGCTCCAGTGAGCGGTGCAAACTCTGCCTTTCAGCCCAGAGCTGCTGTCAAACGGAGGAGAACTGGCTGGCCAGATTCCACCGCAGCCCCCAAGATTTCCACCCCTTTTTAATGTAAAGAGCAAGCGAAGGGCGGATGGAGAAGAGCTTTCGTAACCGGCCTTGCAACACGATTTGCCTTTTTAGAAACCCAAGGGGGGAGGGAAATATCACGCACGCACACCCTTGCAAGAATATTGAGCCGAGACCTCTGACCTTCGCTCTTCCCTCCCTCTCTCCCGCCGCGCCTTTCCTTTCAATTCTGCTATTCCCGTTTGCTGCTAAGACGCAGGCAGACGCGAAAGCTGACAAGAGAACAAACTCGGAAGTTGCGACGAATTTTACACCCCCCTCCAAAAAAACAATGAGTTGACGATCGGATGTGGGGGTGCCTACATCCGATCACACTGTGTTATTATTCTGCATTATAATAATACACACGACAGGATTATTCTGCATTTTCCGGGAACTGACAAAGCATTTGCATTCACAAGATGCCTGGAGCTTTAAAGCGCCCATCATAAAACGAACAATACGCATGGAAAGTATGACCTTGAAATAATGGGCATTGATTTCACTTGGAAGTCATCAGAAGCATCGTAACACCGTCTGCTTCTTTCAGATGGAATCTGTTTTACTTTCAGGCAAAAGAGCTTAGGCTTGGCCTGTTAAACTATCAGTAAAACAAACATTGGAGTGGATCATCTGCCTGTCGGTCAGTAGTTTTAAGGCAGACACCGAGATATAAAATTCTACCAGTGAAGATCTTAAAAGCACATCTGGAAGTCTGTAGCACTGAAGAAAGTGAGGTTCAGAACCTGGACATATTGTTTTTTGGACTACAATTCTGGACAACTTTGACCCCGTGCTGGTTTGAGATACTGCGCGCTGTCTGCAAAAGTAAGGCTCTCAAACAAACTGTGGTGAGATTACATTTCTCAGTGAGTGAGTTTAGGGTGGAGGTGCGATTTTCCTCTTTGCCTGCTAAGCACCTGCTGCTGAATGCAGCAACATGCCCAAATATTAAGATGTGTTGGTGCCGATCTTCACGAAAAATCTTCTCAGATGCACCGATTGGATTCTAATGGCGACTATCACACGCACACCCCAATAACGTGGCTTGCCAAGGACTGGACACTTCCGGTATACATTTTCCTACTACAGTCACAATTATCTCATGAAGAGGGAAAAAATCGGCACTACCTATTCCCACTTCTTTTTAAAGAAATACAACTAATGAACATTAATATCCCACCTGATTAATACTTACACAATAAAATACAATACTTTGTCTACCTTTCTGAAAAACAATATAACTGGAATATGACATTCACGACTTTTAATTAAAGGAACAGGGTGTGCTGATCCTGAAGAGGTCTGCAAGCCAAAAGTAATCATTGCACAATTATTGTATATATTTTTAACACACCCAAGTTAAAACTTTCCCTGTCTATCAGTTAAGCAAACCCAGCCAGGTTTTTTGGAAAACAACACCTCCATCCTAAAAAAAAAAATTCTTGGGGAAAAATAATGCCTTTTATTTATACTGGAATGTTTTTCTGATTTCATAACTGATTGGCCAGAATATTCTAGACAACCATCAGTAACAACCATTAGAGCATGTACGTTCCGCAGGGGGATAAAATGTTCAGCAGTTTTAAAAGTGACAAAACACCTCACATTGTCAATCAAATCTTTATGTATTTATGAGAACGTAAAAGCAAGATCTAAAGCATTTAATATCATTCTGCATTAATATAATTTGCCTCCTATTTAACCAAATCATGTGTATTTGCTTAGGCACAGACACAACAGTGTTTCTTGATTTCTAGAGTGATTATGTTGCACGACTATATTTACCTCGACTATATTTACCTCGTCTCTGGAAGAAATTAAAAGCACAAAGGAAAACCCTCCCTCAAGTACTGCCATTTCTGGAACGCACAGACAATTGTGACACAATTGCATGTAAATTACAATTTCAAATTCTCAAAATAATCTACTTTTATTTGATTCAGATACAAAAAGATACTATAGAAGACTGCAAGAAGTTCAAATTATCTATTGTAAGAATAATCTTATTTTCTTTGGTTACTTCTCACTGTTGCTTGTTTTTTTTTAATTGCCAAGACTCCAAACAAGTGTATTTTACTGATTGCCATGTAACAGTTTTCCTGCTAAAATCCATGACTGACCAAATTTAAGTACTGTCCAGAACACAAGTGGATTGATGTCACCTTTAACCACAAAGTCAGCCCCATTGATTTGAACTAAACTTCAAGAAATACAGTACTTCCAATATGTCTGTGATCCTGAGTACCTATTAAGTCCAGATGCAAGGGGGCTTTTATCCTTATAAATCTGCACAGTCCATGAAATGGGTGCCAGTCCATGAAATACTATGAGGCCAAACAAACTGACATGAAGGTTTTTTCAACTTCAGCTAGATAATGACTTTTTTTCTGTGACTTCACTACTTGTTTTGAAAATGATTGAAATCCTGTAGTGAGTCACAACTAGAGTTGGCCAGTTGAGTCAGTAGGGATTTGATGAGTTAATTCTTTTGTAAATGTCATTGATTCAATGGGTCTACTCTGCTTGTGACATAACCACTGGATTTTAATCTCTCTCTCTCTTTTGCGATATCTTGGCAATGACAGAATGCTCATCTACCCTGCAATCAAAACTACCCAGAAGATCAGTAGGAGATCAGTAAAGCAAATATTAAAATGCTGCTAGAGCAAAACACTAAAGGCCTAAAGCCAAGTGCAGTATTTATTTAGTTGAAAATTAATTGCTTTATTTTCAAAAAATTGTAAAAAAGTTGTTTTTTTAAACAATTTGAATGGTACAATAATACTTGCCAGTAATCATAACAATATTCCTGGTAAAGAATAGTCATAACGTACAAAATAAAGCAAAAAAAAAACCTTAATAATCCACAAACCTATCATGATAACAAAAAAGAAAGAAAGAAACACCCCACAGGTTAAAATAACAAATGATAATCTCAACTTTCCTCTTGTAAACAATGTTAATCTTTTTCGTATATAAAAGTATGTAAGTCAAGTGAGCTACAAGGAAAAAAAGGCGACAGGTGGCTGTCCTCCCTTAGAGTGTCTTTGTTTACGTCCACCCTTCTCATTGATCATTACTGTTTATGTACTTGTGGAGGCTGTAGTATTTGTTATTTTAATCCCTGGAACTTTTGCAGTGGGAAGTGGTTCTGACCCGCCTTTAAATGGGTGGTGTCTCTGTTTTAAGGAGAAGCATTAAGGACCACTTCTTTGCCATCCGTCCGTCCGTCTACGCAGCATCGAGAAATGGCTTTGCATAAATAGAGGTATGGAAGAAGAGCAGGGCGGAAAGGCCGAAAAAACCGAGAGGCAAACAAATCAACAAGCAAAACCAAAAAACGGGCCGGTCCAGAAAAGCTGTCTCTTTGCCTTCCTGGCAAAAGTAGAGAAGGGGAGATTCCAGAAAACGGAAGGGGAGCAGGGCGGGGAGAGAGAGAGGGGGGGGGCGGAGATCCTACCTTGGGTAAGACCGTTAGCAATTGGAAATCCTGGTAGTAAAGTTTTCGTTGACCAAGGCTGGCCCCGGGTGCAAAGCGCCCAACGAGGCTGCGGCCACTGCTGCCGCCGCCGCCGCCGGAGAGGGCGAGGCCAGGGAAGGCGACGAGGTCATCAGGGAGCGGGCCAGGACCGGGAGGACGGCGGACTGGGACGCGCAGCTGCTCCCG